AATGTAATCAACTGCTAAGCCTGTCAAGACTTCCTTCAAAATATCAGGTATGTTCAATTCTCCCTTCCATGTTCACCATCATTCTAAATCAGACTTTCACTGCCTATCACCTACATCAGTTTTTCCAACTTTTTAGACTGTTTTCCTGGTAAGAGAAATATTTTACATCTTGATCAATACAAATGTACATACATGCATGTTCATACTGATACAAAATCTTTATAAAATAAGGCTTTCTCTTCCTAAGAGCAATTTACCCTGATACTGTATTGATTTTCAAACTATTGGTGGGTCACAACCTGCAGTGTGAATAACTCTGACCACTGGAAATCCTTTCTACTGTCTCCATGCTCTTCTGGTGCCTGTCATTTCTATTTGTCTTCGCCAGATGAACACTCCCCGACCCTTGAGCCTTCGAGGCAGGCACATGCTACTGAGCTAAATCCTCAGCCCCAGAACAAGACTTTTTAAAGCTCCATCCTAATTATGTCTACTTCCTATTCACCATTTCTTATGGATTCCCCTTATAATCTTAAGAAGAAAATTCCTTGGCCTCACAAAGACACGCCCAGATATATATTACCTTAACTACAGATGAACTGAATAATCCTGGACATAATTTGTGTTTTCTTGATTTTTTTCTGATTGAATTCCCACCTTCTCTAGTCCATAGTTCTACCTAGTAAAATCCTACTCCATTCATTCAGCCAGTGTGTATTGAGTGAGCAGCTACATGTTTCAGGCAGTGTGAGAGGAAGGTGATCCCTACATTTGCAGTATGGTGCTGTAAACGTAAAAGTACTGACAAACGTGATTAACAGTTACAAAAGGAAAAATGCAATGTGACTGGATGTAGGACAGGAAAGGTTCACCAAGTGTTATGGTTTCTATTTAGATGTACCCCTAAAGCCTCATGCGGATGAGACGGGGTTTTCTTCTTCTGTGGTAGCTGAATCTGGAATATGTAATGCTGGTATTAAGGGCATGTGATTACTAAATCATACCTGTGAATGACTGGTTTGACACCGCCCTAATCCCTGTAATCCAAATGGGATAAAAGGGGCAGAAAGATGCTGTTAAGCTCTTTTGTTCTTTTGCTACCTTGTGGGTGCCATGAACTGTTTCTCCTCTGTGATGCCCCTCTGCCATGTGCCACCCTGCCTTGGAGCCAGCCAATTATGGACTGAAACCTCTACAAACTGTGAGCTTTCCTCTTTTACTTTGGGTGTCAGATATTTTGTCTCAGCAACAAGAGTTTTCTTAACCAACACACCAAGTTAACAGTACTATGACAAGTGTCCCAGAGGAAAAGCTCTTTAAGTACCAAAGGGCAAAAAAGGATTTACCGGGTGTAAAATGATCTCAGGGAGGAAAATGGCATGCCTAGGGTTCTGAGGAAAGAAATGGTATTTAGAAAAGTCAAAGAAGTACAAGAAGACCAGTTTGGTCGTAGCAGAGAAAATGTGAGTGAGAGCAGCTCATGAACCTGGGGAAAACGGAACAGCAGATCACAGATGGTATTACATTCTAGATCAAAGTGTTGATCACACCTGTATCTGGCAGGTATGTGAGCATTTAAGGATGTTTATGGCATGTTTTTTTGCCATCCAGTAACATGTTCTTCTGTAAATACTGATAGGTAAAACTGCTATGGGATATGAGCCAAAGTAGATAAATGTACAAATAGTTCACAGAAAGGATTATTAACTTTTCCTGGCATGTTGAGGAAAGCTTCCTAGGGGAAGTAATGCCTGAGCAGAAATCTGAAAAATGAGTTTAAGTTCCCTGAGCGGACAGTAACCTATCAGGCAAAGGATCACCATGTAAAATTATAGGGACATAAAAAAAAATCATGGCTTTTCCATGCAGTCATCCTGATAGTCCAGAAGAGAAGGTATTTTTGCTGTCTTCAGAACTGAAAGTAAATACTTGAATAAAGAGGCTTCATCTTTTTTGGAGGTATTTTTTTTGGTACCAGGGATCGAACTCGGGACTTTGCGCTTTTGAGGCAGGCAGCAGAACCACTGAGCTAAATCCCTGGTCCTGCTTCATCTTTTTTAAAAATCATCAATGGAAGGGTATCATAGTACTTAAAGCACTCAATATCAGTAAATATATATTTGTGGAATACATAACTATTTGTGGAATTAAAATTAAGTGATCCCTTACGTGATGAAGGAATACAGAAAATATACCTTAAGATTCTTCAGGAACTGAAAAGGAGATTACCAAAGAAAGAAGGGATGGATAGTAAAATTCCTGTGACACAAAAACTCAATGATTGGGGCAGGGCACCAAATCAAGGTGCCTGGAACGCCCCTGTAAAAGGAGGTAACAAAAATGAGTGAGAATGACACAGCATATAACCTACTCATTATTAAAAATGTTTAAAACCAAACATTTTCATTATTTAAAAAGTCTACCTACACCTACAAAGATATTTCAGTCAGAGAATGAAAAATTTTATAGTTCATCTCTTCCTTTCCCTATCTATGCTCAGAATGTTAAATCATTTAAATTAACTTCAAAATGTTCTTGCAGATGTTACTAAACTCTGTCCATACCAATGAATGCCAATGATGTCATTGTTTCCATAGTAACTAATGCACTTCAAAAGGGGGGAAAATAGAGAACAAGACTTAAAAACCAAGGAGGGAAAATGGAATAAAGTGAAATACAGCAACACATCTCCTTTGCATTTATGGAACACTAATTTCAAACATTTTATTATTACTTAGACTGAGGATTTTAAGAGCCAGAGGGATCTCAGAAGTCATCAAATCCACTTCTCACTTATGACTGAAACTCCCTTTTCAATGTAGCTTACTATGGCTGTCAAACTGCATACAGAGCTCATGGCTAGAAAGTTCTCACTCACTGACTCACAAGCATTACTGAGTATCTGTGCAGCCTGGAGGGCAAATAATTTTTAAAAGTGGGGGGGGGGGAAGAGAGCTATTCTCAAGATATAAGAACAGTCTAGAGAAAAATCTGTCAGAACAGTAAGAGATTATCTGGCTCTTAATTAAAGGGCTACAGGTAAGTAAAAATAACATCTGACCTAAAAGGTATACCTGTTGAATTTGGCAGCTATCATCATTAGACTCTCAAATAACAAAGTCTGGTAGTTTAGTAGGGCCTGCCCTTGTTGCTACCTCAGATGACAACTTCAGTTGAAATGACCTGTCGGCATACAAAATAATATTATCTAGGGGGGTAAAATAAGAACAAGTTCTAACTCCTGCTCCTTTTAAAATTTTTTCCCTTAAGGGTTTCATGGTGCTTTAGAGTAAGCTAGTTATACCTCTATCCTCACCTTACAGAATGAGGAGTTGAGCATTCACTTACATGCAGACACAATGGCTATTATCCTGACCTTCAAGTGGTCTTAACAGGCCAGCCTTGTTATCTAATTTCTAACAGAAAGAAGAATTTAGATTACTTGTTAACTCAGTGTCATAATTTGATAGCTAGCCCTCTCTTTAATAAATCTTTTGCTGATTTATATTTTAAAACTTTACATAATAAGTAGCCAATCAAGTTATCTGGGTAGGTATTACTTGTGTCTAGTTTATCTTGGAGGATATAATATGAAGTCACAGTGCTTAAACTAGGTACTTCAGAGAAAAAGCATTCTGTCTGAGGTGGCCATTTGGTTTAAAAATTTTCCAAGGTAGGGCCAGGGATTTAGCTCAGTGGCTCCGCCGCTTGCCTTGCAAGTGCAAGGACCGGAGTTCGATCCCTGATACCAAAAAAAAAAAAAAAAAGAAGAAGAAAAATCCTGTGGACCGGGGAGTTAGCTCAGTGGTTTCCCTGCCACCTGCTGTGCAAGCGCAAGGACTCAAGTTCGATCCCCAGTACCAAAAAAAAAAAAAAGAGAGAGAAAAATTTTCCAAGCTAAAAAAATCAAAACACAGACAACAGTTCCTATACTACTTACTAATCACAATTTTAACTGCTAGTGAATGAGCCCTTCACTTCTTTCTTTTTCTTCTGCCCAACAAGGCATAAAACCCAGGACCTAATGCATCTAGGTAAGCACTCTACCACTGAGCTCTATCCTTAGTTATGAATTCTTTTCACATGAAAACAAGTACAAATGAACAGTCTGTGGTGGAGAAAATGAGGAAAAATTATGAGACTCCTGAAGCTAGTCCATGGGCTGAAGTTTAGGGAGCTCTGGCCTATAAACTCTAAAATCTGTCCTTGAATTAAGCAAGGCCACTAGAGAGCCACATACACGTTGGCCTTGTACTGAAATACTTATTCTACTTGTCCTCTGTCACAATTCCCCTTGCTTTTGTTGAGGCATACTAGAAGGAAACACCATCTATTTCCTGTAAAGAAAGTGATGACAGTGTGTCCAATACATATATAGTTTCTTTTTTTCTGAGAACCTAGCAAAGATATGTCTCTGGTTTCAGCTTTCTTTCTCTTGTGTATCCAAGAGAAAATTGGCTGCTAGAAAATTTATGGCATACCACTGGCATGTATTTAAGTTCCTTAATAGCATGCAATTTGTTGACTGACTTTACTTATGACTCCATCTGGCTTTAATTATTGTCTATTTTTAAAATATTTTACTTTGTTTTATTTTGTCATATGGTATGGAAAATCCTGCAATACCTTTTAGAAGAAGCTGGGTTATCAATGGGTTAATATGCCAGAGGACAAAAGGAAAAAAGTAATCTTTTAAAATCTATTTTTGCACAATTCAAGTTTATTTACCTAAATAATTTCCTAAAAGAATTTTTTTTTTTTTGGTCAGTGATAGTTACAAGTGTTTGAAAGAGGAAGCACTTCTTAAGAAAGCTCATACCTGAACAAGTTTCAGAACTCTTTTGCATTAATATGTAGACATGTTTCTACCTAGTGCGTTTTTAAAGTAACCATAAAGATGAACAAGGAATTTCACAAAGATTTCAGCACAGGAGTAAATAACTTGCTTCTTCTCTTAGAAGAGTTTCATATTTTTCAGTGTTGAAGCTGTAAATACTTACAGGTACATGGACTTTGCGAAACATTTCAGCACCCTTGTGTGCATCCATTAGTGCAATGTCCTGGGGTGTGGAGACAATCACAGCACCTAGCCAAAAGATAAATAAAATGATGCTACCTTTAAATTCTTTATTAAAAGAGTGCTTCCAATATTATTGTTGTTCACATGCTCATCTACTATATTAGCTAATTCATATACATTTTACATAAATGAGTAAGAGCGATAAGGAAATGTCTACTTTGCTCTTAGCTACCTTTGACCTCTCATTTCTAAAACAACAATTGATTTATCCATGATTCAAGATCAAAATTGGATAAAAGGACTATCTCACATACAGTCAGACCATACCTTCAAGAAGTTGACAGTCTACTTGGGAAACCAAAATACAAAGATTTTAACACAAAATGCTAAGTATTACAACAGAGGTATGCATAAGAAAGAGAGCTACCTGGGAAAGAAGATAGTGATCTATGACTGCTAGGGTGGGGAAGCAAAAGATAAGGAGATAGGGGAGAGTCTCCAAAAACAGTTAATTCCTAAACTGTACCCCAAAAGTTTAAACTGTAAAAGCTCAGAACAGTTTGGTGGGCATTAAACTGAAAGCTGTGGCAGAAATTCAGACAAAAGGGTGGTGTCCTGAATTTAGGCAGTGCTGAAGTGATGGTGTCAGGGGCTTTTCTGGATCTCCACTGTTACCTACAGAGACACAGTTTTAAGGAAAATGCAATGCAACTTTTCTTCAAGTGGAAGCAACAAATGCCTGTTTATGATTGGTAGAGTCTGTAAATTTCTTAAATTTTGTGATTTCTTCTAGACAATAACCTAAAAAAATAATTAACATGAATATATTATAGATCACATGGCTGATCATCACCTTATTAACAAAAACACAATGCCATGACTTTTCTGAGCTCCAAACTGTTAAATTGGTATTCAGACTTTATCACAGCTAATAGAAACAGAAAAGATTAACAGTAAATAACTGGTTATACCACATGAAGGTCAAATGATATTGCAAAGTATTAACTACAAGGATATTTTGGAAGGCAGCTATGCTCACCATTGTACCACCAACACCGTATTGCAGGGATATTTTGAAGTCAGAATAGAGAAAAGTGGTGGGAAAACCAAGTTATCACAAAGCACATGGTATTATAAGTATGCTAAAATCAATCAAACAAACAAACAAAAAATCCAATGCAACAGAAAGCTACAAGTTCTTCTTGCAATTGGCATTTGCATTTCAGCAAAAACTTTCTCCTTCATATTAATTTTGTAAGTTTTGCTTGTATTTGACTTATTTGTTTAGTTTGTTAAATCACAACAGCTATAAACTTAAGGAATTTGTATATACATCTAGTGAAGAAACTTTATGCAAAAATAAATCAATATGGGAAGTGGGGGAGAAAATTACTTTTCCTTTAGAAGGAAAATCTATATTCATTGCTCAAGTTTGAGATACATCAGCTTTAGAATTCAAACATAAGAGGATTCAGTTTCTTCATCTACAAAATGGCACAGTAATACTTAGATCACAGATGACTGATATGATGCCTAACATTCAATAAATGGTAGCTGTTGATAATGTCATCACCATTAATATATTTATTGTTATTTATAAATAACTTAGAAATTGCTTTCCTACATGTCATCAAACAGCTCATCCTACTTTACAAATTGTGCCATGGATTGCTACATTCTTCTATTTTGATTTACCTTGTGTAAGAACCAAAACAGTCAACAGTTCTTTCCTCTCTCTCTTAGAGTGACAGATTTCATATCTCTGAAAAGATTATACTCTAAACATACAATATATTTTCACTTCTTCTATCCTCTAGATTCTTCTATCAATCTGTTTTACTATTTTTTAATTCCCAACCAATCTGAAGGAATCCAATTCATATCTAGTTCATCTAGCTATATGACTGACTAATCTTGGGCAAATAACTTAGAATCACTTTGGGTCTCAGTTTCCTTAGCCGTGAAACTAGTGCATACAATAGATAGTCTCCAAAATCTCATCTATCTCTCATTATATGATTCAGCATTCCTTCTTAATCATAAATTTCCAACACTATCCTTGCTCAATCTGACTCTTCTCATAACTTATTTCAGTGAATGTGAAATGTCTCCTCCTCAAAGAAGTATTGCCTCTCAATCTCAGAGCCATTCTCTTCAGATATACATGGGGAACATCCCTGGCTAATTTCTCCAAATCTTCTTGACTATATACAGATATATAGGAGGTGCTCTATTCATTTACTATAAAAAGTAATCTTAGCTTTCATATGATATAAACATGCTTTAAATATTCTTGTCAACTATCTGTATCATTATGACACAATACAGCTTCATGGGTGTTACGACAATTTGGATGTGATTGGTATTCCTTCATTTGTTGAAAGCTTAGTCTGGTGGCATTGACATGATAGAACCTTTAAGAGTGGGGGCCTAATAAGTGGAAGACAATTAAGTCCCGAGTTGCTACTCTCAGGAGAGATTAGGTGGTTCTTGTGGGATCCTAGTTAGTCCCTATAAAAGTAAGTTATAAAAGACAGAGAGCCTGATTCCTAAGTTTTTCTGACCTCTTGTTTCAATACATGGTCCCTTCTTGCCCACATCATCATGCTATTTACCACAATACGATGCAGGCAAGAGGGCACTCAACAGAAGCCAAATGGATGGAGCTGCCTGATCTCAGGTTTTCACCCTCTAAAACTGTGAGTTAAATACTCTTCTTTTCTTTATAAAATACTCCACCTCAGGTGTTTTGTTATAGCAATAGAAAACAGACAAGCATAATGGACAGTTGTGTTTATTTTTATATTTTTATCAAGCAAAACTCATGACCATTCACAAATTAGGCACTTGATAAAAGGTTAATAATTAAGCAATTTTCCTATATTTTCAGAATCATGTACCCCAGTTTACTACAACTTAACTTTTAGTTAACTCCTTAAACTAGGAGTCAAGAGCTCTGAATTCTGATTTTGTTCACTGTTAATGAACCATAAAACCTTGAATAACTTACTAAATCTCAATACATCTCAACTAATTCCTCAAAATGAACCTACATTAAAGAGCTACTCCATTAAAAAAAAGGAATTTAAAAGTGTTATAAAAATATTCAGTGACATTCTTCTGATTGCTGTAAGATCTGAAGAAGAAAGATTAAAATAACTTGGTTTTCTTTGTATTTAACCCTAATACAGTATCACAAATAAACATCCATGCCCTCTGAATTCCTCTGTAGAATTATCTTAATAGCACCATTCAAACATAATAACTTTTTGACAAGGGCAATAATCATCTTTCACGTTGCATCAAATGCTCACAAGACATGTAAACATTTCATTGGGTCTACCAACCACATTGGAGAAGATATTTTGTTAAAAGATTTTTATACTAAATATATGTTGTTAACTAACAACTATATCTTTAATCACAGTGTAATCAACCTTTGGAACACTACCCTGATCCACACATAAATCACTACCTCTTTTGATGTACTAAAATGTAATATATAACCATTTCAAACAGCACTACAATGACATTTAGAATGTATGAGAAGGAAATAAAACATAAACAACCAACCAACAAAACCTCAAATTACATTTAACCCTTAATCAATTTACACCTAATAACTTCAAATTTAAAATTTTAAAGGAACTTGTTAGTAGTGTACAATCCAGTTTAAGAGATGGTCTCCAAAATTAGATGTTACATTCTATCTGTATAGCTCTTGGCTAGTAAACTTTAATTTTTCTTGTGGCATATGAAACCTGAACCAATCTGAACAAGCTTAGACTTTTTCCCTTTATAGCATCACTAATGATGTCACTTCAATTCTGTGACATAGGGTTAGAAAACTTGTGCTCCCTCTATTGACCATAAGGAAATGTCAACCAAAGCAAAAAGAATGTTTAGTTTGCAATACATGTTGATTATTTTGGTGGTTAAGAATCCTATTAAGTATTGGAAGTCAGATCTGGCAGGATGTAGAAAGTGGTTTTGTTATAGGGATGG